GTGCTCCTTGCTCGGGGACCATGGAATCTTCTGAACGAGGATCGTCAGGAACAGCTCCTTCCCCTGCACAGCCAGCCCCCAAAATCCCCCAAATATCCCACCCTGTGCCTGGGGGTGACCTCCCTGAGGTGCTTTGGGTTTGGCCAAGCCCCCCAGAGGTGCTGGGATTGCTGCAGGGGTGATGGAGGGGACAGCGGGAGGGTCCCGGTGTCACCTCCTGCTCGGCCACACTGCTCCTTGATCGGGGGATCGTGGAATTTTCTGAACACCAGGAAAATGGGGATTTGCCCACTGTGAACTTCCCGCTGTCCCAGGATGAAAAACCTTTCCTGATATCCAAATCCCACCAAAACCCATCCCTGGCTGACCCCAAATCCCCCCCAAACCACCCAAGGATGCAGGGACAGCTCGCCCTAGCTCAGGTGGGCACCTCCACCCAACAGGAGGGTTTAGGAGCAGCATTTTGGGGCTGATTGGGGCTGATTTTGGACACTCACCCGCAGCACGTAGGCCGGGCCGCTGAGGCCGTAGACCTTCCCTCCGAGGTGGAAGGAGATGTTGGGCAGCTGAGGCACCTGCTCGCAGTCCACCACGTACTGCAGGGGAGGGGACAGTGCTGGGACAGGGCCAGGCGGCCTCGGGGACACGGACAGGGGGTGGCTGTCACTCACCTCTCCTTCGGCCACCTCGGTGGCCCCGATGGCTTTCATGAGCACGGACACGGGGCCAGCAGGGCCGGTGATGTAGGAGGCTCCGGTGTCCACGGCCACGGAGCAGCCTTCCCTGCAGAACAGGATCTCAGCCCCTACAGACACCCTGGAGAGGGAGGGGTGGCCCTGAGTGTCCTCTGGTGACACCCAGGGTGCTCCTGGGAATGTCACTTCCATCCCAAATGTCCCTTGGTGACACTAAGCATGCTCCCAGGAGTGTCACATGTATCCCAAATGTCCCCTGGTGTCACCAAGGGTGCTCCCAGGAGTGTCACTTCCATCCCAGATCTCCTGTGGTGACACCAAGGATGTTCCTGGAAGTGTCACTTCCATTCCAGTCATCCCTGGTGACACCCTTGGTGCTCCTGGGAGTGTCACACCCATCCTGAGTGTTCCCTGGTGACACCAGGAGTGTCACATTCATCCCAAATCTCCCCTGGTGACACCCAGGGTGCTCCCAGGAGTGTCACTTCCATCCCCCAAATGTCCCCTGGTGTCACCAAGAGTGCTCCCAGGAGTGTCACTTGATCCCAAGTGTCCCCTGGTGTCACCAAGGGTGCTCCTGTAAGTGTCGCTTCCATCCCAAATCTCCTGTGGTGACACCAAGGGTGCTCCCAGGAGTGTCACTTCCATCCCAAATATCCCCTGGTGACACCAAGGATATTCCTGGAAGTGTCACTTCCATCCCAAATGTCCCCTGGTGTCACCAAGGATATTCCTGGAAGTGTCACGTCCATCCCAAATGTCCCCTGGTGTCACCAAGGGTGCTCCCAGGAGTGTCGCTTCCATCCCAAATCTCCCATGGTGACACTCTGGGAATGACATATCCAACCCAAACATCCGTGGTGACACCCTTGGTGCTCCTGGGAGTGTCACACCCATCCTGAGTGTCCCCTGGTGCCACCAGGAATGTCACATCCCACCCCATCCAGGCACGTGCTTCTCCCAGCTTTTCCAGTGTGGGATCTGAGCTCCATCATTTCCAGGGCTGATTTTTTGGGATTTTTTTTTTTTTTTTGGCTAAACAAAGCGGGATTGTTCCAGCTCCTCCCGCAGGACTGGCGGGGCTTAAACTCTTCCAACTGCAGCTCCCGATGGAATCTCAGCCCACGGTGCCACCCCCTCTGCATTCCCAGCTGCTCCTGGCTCCTTGCTGAGGGAGCTGGAGGAGCTGGAGGAGCTGGAGGAGCTGGAGGAGCCCACCCTGCTCCTCTCCACATGTGGAAAAACGCTGAGGGAAAACATCCCTGAAATCCCTGAAATCGCCAAAATCCAACATCACAGAGCTGCGGGGTGCAGCCCTAGACCTGCCAGTGCTGGGCTAATATGTGGTTCGATGATCCCAAAGGCTTTTCCCGCCTCAAATCCCGGGATTTGGGGTTCCCGGGCCGTGCCGGGCTGTCCCCGCCCTCACCCCTTCATGCGGATCTGCCAGAAGCCGCTCCTGCTGACGTTCAGGTAGTGGAAGTCGCCGGTGTAATAGGCTGGGTCGCTGCCTCCCAGGATGATTTCCCCGCCGGGCTTCAGGGGAGCGTTCCTGTGCCAAACACAGCGGGAGGGATTCCCTTTTTTCCCAAAAATCTCATCCCAGCANCACCCACTCGAGTCTTCTCCAGACTGTGGAGAGCAGGGCAGAGGAGGTTGGGATATTTCCATGTGGGTTTTCCCAGGTTGGGATATTTCCAGGTTGGGATATTTCTATTTCAGGTTGGGATGTTTCCAGGTGGGATTTTTCAGGTTGGGATATTTCCAGGTGGGTTTTTCAGGTTGGGATATTTCCAGATGGGTTTTTTCAGGTTGGGATATTTCCAGGTGGGTTTTCTAGGTTGGGATATTTCCAGATGGGTTTTTTCAGGTTGGGATATTTCCAGGTGGTTTTTCCAGGTTGGGATGTTTCCAGGTGGGTTTTTCAGGTTGGGATATTTCCAGGTGGTTTTTCCAGGTTGGGATATTTCCAGGTGGATTTTTCAGGTTGGGATATTTCCAGGTGGTTTTTTTCAGGTTGGGATATTTCCAGGTGGGTTTTTCAGGCTGGGATATTTCCAGGTGGGTTTTCCAGGTTGGGATATTTCCAGGTGGGATTTTTCAGGTTGGGATATTTCCAGGTGGGTTTTTCCAGGTTAGGGATATTTCCAGGTGGGTTTTCTAGGTTGGGATATTTCCAGGTGGATTTTTCAGGTTGGGATATTTCCAGATGGGTTTTTTCAGGTTAGGGATATTTCCAGGTGGGTTTTCCAAGTTGGGATATTTCCAGGTGGATTTTTCAGGTTGGGATATTTCTAGGTGGGATTTTTCAGGTTGGGATGTTTCCAGGTGGTTTTTTTCAGGTTGGGATATTTCCAGGTGGTTTTTCCAGGTTGGGATTTTTCCAGGTGGGATTTTTCAGGTTAGGGATATTTCCAGGTGGATTTTTCAGGTTAGGGATATTTCCAGGTGGGTTTTCTAGGTTGGGATATTTCCAGGTGGTTTTTTTCAGGTTGGGATATTTCCAGGTGGTTTTTCCAGGTTGAGGTATTTCCAGGTGGGTTTTTCAGATTGGGATATTTCCAGGTTGGGATATTTCTATTTCAGGTTGGGATGTTTCCAGGTGGGTTTTTTCAGGTTGGGATGTTTCCAGGTGGGTTTTTTCAGGTTGGGATATTTCCAGGTGGGTTTTTCCAGGTTGGGATATTTCCAGATGGGTTTTTTCAGGTTAGGGATATTTCCAGGTGGGTTTTTTCAGGTTAGGGATATTTCCAAGTGGGATTTCCCTCATGTAGCAAGGGGGAGACTCTCGCTAAGCATCTCAGAAGGATGTGATGCCCTGACCTCAGCAGATTCCCTCTTTTCTGATGGTCCCATCCCTCCCTGCCGCTGTTTCCCGGCTCCTGGGCGGCTCAGGAAACGCTGGATGAGAGCNGGGGATGGATCCCACCAGGGACTGCCCACCCCGAGGAGCCTCCTGCCCCCTCTCACCTGGCTCAGCAGCGGGATGTTTGCCAGCGAGCCCAAAAACCCAAAAGCCACCGGGAAGAAGCTCCTGTGTGGACACAAAAGGACTCGCTGAGCTCTGGGGAGCATTCCCCAAGCCCAGGCTCTATCCCAAGGGTCCCATCCCAAGGATCCCCCCTCCGAGGATCCCATCCCAGGGATTTCATCCCAAGGATCTCATAATGAAGATCTCATTCCCACAATCCCACCCTGAGGGATCATCCCAGGGATCCCATGCCCAGGATCCCATCCCAGGGATCTCATGCCCAGGATCCCATCCTGAAGTTCCCATCCCAGGGATCTCATGCCCAGGATCCCATCCCGAGGTTCCCATCCCAGGGATCCCATGCCCAGAATCCCATCCCAGGGATCCCATCCCAAGGATCTCATCCTGAGGATCCCATGCCCAGGATCCCATCCCAGGGATCCCAACCCAGAATCTTATCCCAGGGATCCCATGCCCAGGGATCCCATGCTCGGGATCTCATCCCAAGGATCTCATCCTGAGGATCCCATGCCAGGGATGCCATCCCAGGGATCGCATGCTCGGGATCTCATCCCAAGGATCTCATCCTGAGGATCCCATCCCAAGGATCCTTCCCCAGGGATCCCATCCTGAGGATCCCATCCCGCACCTGAAGAGGGAGATGAAGCCGTAGGCCTCCAGCAGCATGCCCAGGATCGGCCACCGCATGAGGACCACAATGAGCCCCCCGAAGAAGAAGCTGGTGCCCTTCAGCTTGGGCCGCTGGAAGAAGAAGGTGAAGGTCCTCCGGAAGCCGATGATGAAGACCAAGCCAGAGAGGAAGAGGAGCTGGGAGAAGGGAGGGGAGAGGGTCAGGGCCGCTCCTTGATCCCGCTGTGGGGACCCCCAGGCTGGCCCTACTCACGTTCCCAAAAGCCAGGAGCACCGAGTCGAAGTACAGGAGGATCCCAAAGAGGAGGAAGAAGAGGCCGAAGCCGACCAGGCCCACTCCAATCCCTGTGGAAAACGGGTGAGCAGAGGCAAAGGCTCCACACCTGGGATCCCAGCACCTCCCTGTCCTGCTCCTTCCCAAAAACACTTTGGGCTTTTCCCCCAAATCTCAGGATCAGCCTTCACACCCAGGCCAGCCCTGGAGGAGGCCGTTGGTGCTCCAGAAACCCCCAAGGGCACCGGATAAATCAGGAGCCACAAAGGAAAACTCCATGGGAAATCCCTGCCCAGCCTTTCCTCTTNATCCTCCATTCCTTCCCTCCCATCTCCTCCATGATCCTCCATCTCCTTCCCACCCTCCCATTCCATCTCCCCCAGGGATCCTCCATTCCATCCCACTCCATTTCCTCCAGAATCCTCCATTCAATCCCTCCCCATCTCCTTCTGGATCCTCCCTTCCTTCCCATCCCAGCTTGTCCAGGAATCCCCCATTCCATCCCACCCCATCTTCTCCAGGATCCTCCATTCCTTCCCACCCTCCCAGTCCATCTCCTTCGTGATCCTCAATCTCCCTCCATCCCCTTTTTTTCCAGAATCCTCTATGCCACCCCATCCCATCCCATCCCATCCCATCCCATCCCATCCCATCCCATCCCATCCCATCCCGTCCCGTCCCGTCCCGTCCCGTCCCATCTCCTCCAAGATCCTCCATTCCATCCCCTCCCATCATCATCAGGATCCTCCATCTCCTTCTCTCCCATCTCCTCCAGGTTCCTCCACCCCTTCCCTTCCTCCTACCCCATCCCCATTCCCATCCCCATCCCTCCAACCCACAAACCCATCCTGTGACCCCCCAACCCCATTTTGGGGGTGCCCCTCAGCCCCACCGGCTGTAGTAGACGGAGAACACGTCCTCCTGGAGGATCTGCTGTGCCAGGATGCGGTCGAAGACGGGCGTGATGCCATCGATGGCCTGGCTGGGGTAGCCCATGCCCAGCACGCCGTCGAACCTGGCGAAGATGAAGGGGAAGGCGGGCAGAGCCGTGGCCTCGGCGAACACCTGGACGATCGGGATGTCCGACACCTGCGGGAGGGCACGGGGGGATTTGTGGGGTGATGGGAGGGGTGAAACCCCCCAAAAAACCCCATATGTGTCCTGGGTGAGCCAGCGGCTCTGGGTGTGTGGATTTAGGGGGATTCTGTGGGTTCCAGTGTGTGGATTTTGGGGATTTCAGGGATGTGTGGAATTTGGGGATTCTGTAGGTTCCAGGTGTGTGGATTATGGGGGTTCTGTGGGATCCAGTGTGTGAATTTCAGGGATTTTAGGTTTGTGCAATTCAGTGATTCTGTGGGTTCCAGGTGTGTGGATTTTAGGGCTTCTGTGGGATCCAGGTGTGTGGAATTTGGGGATTCTGTGGGTTCCAATGTATGGATTTGGGGGCACTGTGTATCCCAGGTGTGTGGATTTTGGGGTTTCTATGGATCCCAGGTGTGTGGATTTGGGGGCTCTGTGAGTTTTGGGGATTCTAAAGATTTTAGGTGTGTGGAATTGGAGTTCTGTGGATCCCAGATGTGTGGAATTAGGGATTCTGTGAGTTCCAATGTATGGATTTGGGGAATTCTGTGGATCCGAGGTGTGTGGATTTTGGGGTTTCTATGGATTCCAGGTGTGTGGATTTGGGGGCTCTGTGAGTTTTGGGGATTCTACAGATTTTAGGTGTCTGGATTTTGGGGATTCTGTGGATCCCAGTTGTGTGAATTTTGGGGATTCTGTGGATCCCAGTTGTGTGAATTTTGGGGATTCTGTGGGCTCCAGGTGTGTGGATTTGGGGGTTCTATGGATCCCAGGTGTGTGGATTTGGGGGCTCAGTGGGTTTTGGGGATTCTAAAGATTTTAGGTGTCTGGATTTTGGGGATTCTGTGGATCCCAGGTGTGTGAATTTTGGGGATTCTGTGAATCCCAGTTGTGTGAATTTTGGGGATTCTGTGGGCTCCAGGTGTGTGGATTTTGGGGATTCTGTGGGCTCCAGGTGTGTGGATTTGGGGGTTCTGTGGATCCCAGTTGTGTGAATTTTGGGGGCTCTGTGGGTTCCAGGGCTTACCATGACAATGTCCTGGCTGAGGACGCCTTTGACGCTGCCGGTGCCGTAGCGGATGGCGAAGCCGGTGCCGTTGGCGATGTAGGTGCGCGACTTGGACGAGTCGTAGCGGCTGTGGGACACTGGGGACAGGGAGAAGGGACATCCCAGAGGGGCACAGAGCACCTCTGTCCCCCCAAACCCCCCTGGGCGGGGGGTGGAGAATGATCCACCCCACCTCAATGCCAGGGCACCAACAGAGAGACCCCTCATGTTAAAATCCATCAGAAACGAGACCCCATAACCCACTCTGAGCAGCTCTGGGGGTCGCTGAGGTTTTGGGGGGGGGTCACTGAGGTTTTGGGGGGGGTCAGTGAGATTTTGGGGGGGTCAGTGAGATTTTGGGGGGTCACCCCCAGCCCCGGCAATGCCCCCCCTTACTCACCACAGGCGCTGTAGAGTGGGGAGCACTTGTAGGATGGCACCCACAGGTTGGCCGAGCCCGTGTCAAAAACCACCTTGAAGGTCTGCGCGGGGGTCCCGATGCTGATCTCGCCGAAATATTGGGTCTGGGGGGCACAGGGAGCACCCCATGGCTCACACCGAGCCCATCCGGGCTGCTGGGTGACATCACGGTGACATCGGGCGGGGCCACACTCACATCCAGGTAGTTGGTGAGCAGGGTGGGAGCTGTCCCGTTGCGGGGACCGTCCCCTGCTCCGCGCGTGGCCCGGCGCAGCTCCGGGAACACGTCCCGCACCTTCACGCCCATCTCCTGCAGCGTCTGGCGGATGGAGGGCATCCTCCGCAGGGCGATCCTGGGGGGCAGGATCGG